GTCAAATGGAATATAAAATGTTGAAATGACAAATTTACCTTGTTTCCAAGCTGTACCTCTACTTACTGAAATATAGTATGTGCCCACTAAATATGTTTTGAATGAGTTAAAGTATACTTTGTTAAGAGTCAGTATGTCCTGTGACATTGAGATACATTTATAGATAATATAGTTTTTATCATGAGCACTTACCAAAGGTTCTTGCATTAAGGCTTGATGCTGGCTCATGGTGTTATTGAAAGATGGTATGATCTTTATGATAAGTGTACCTATTGGAAGGAAGTTAAGTGGAGGCATGCCCTAGGGGGAATTATCTGATGCCAGTCTTTTACTTATTCTGTTTTCTTCTTCATCATCATACGTGACTTTCTTTCTACTATACTATGCTCCCATCATGAACTAATACCTTATCACAGGTCCCAAAACCAATGGGCCAAGTGATCATGGAAGAAACCTCTGAAACTGTATGCAAAATAAAACCTTTTTAAGTACAGTGTGCTTGTTTCAGGAATGTCATTAGGACAACAGAAAGATGACTTAACAGGACAATACATCTTAACTGCAAGGAGAATGCTTTTCCAAGGCCTTTCAGATGGTAAATATTAAGCAGTTGAGAAAGACAGACTATAGCTAGGTCCCTGAAACTTATTTGCCCTTTGACCCTGGTGCCTAGTTTCATTTCTTTGTATTCTTCATCTATTAGAATTAATCTTATTGATGATATTTTCTGAGTTCTTAAAATTAAACGAGTAATTAAGAGCATCATATCTGTTACTATTATTGATACTATGGATTTATTTTACTATTACTGTTTAAGGCCATTTTACTCATAGTCATTCTGTGCCAAAAAGCAAACCAAAGCAACTGTTACAATAAAAATGAAGATTTACCACTTTGCCTGAGAGATGATGAATATCTATTGCTTAAGAACCATGTCTTTCATAGTGAACAAGACAAAAAGGCAGCCCACAGAGTGGGAAAAGATATTCACAACCCCACATCTGACAGAGGGCTGATCGTCAAATTTTACAAAGAACTCAAGAAGCAAGTTTCCAAAACACCAAAGGATCCAATTAAAAAGTGGGGTACAGAACTAAATAGAGAATTCTCAATAGAGGGGTCTAATGTGGCTGAGAGACACTTAAGGAAGTGCTCAACATCCTTAGCAATTAGGTAAATGCAAATCAAAACAACTCTGAGATGTCATCTTATTCCTGTCAGAATGGCTAAAATAAAAAAAAAACACTAATGACAGTTTATGCTGGAGAGGATGTGGAGAAAAGGGAACACTCCTCCACTGCTGGTGGGAGTGCAAACTTCTACAGCCACTTTGGAAATCAGTATGGAGATTCCTCAGGAAAATGGGAATCAGTTTACCACAAGACCCAGCATTTCTACTCTTAGGCATATACCCAAAAGATGCCCATTCATACAACAAGGATGTCTGTTCCACTATGTTAATAGCAGCATTATTTATAATAGCCAGATACTGGAAGCAAGCTAGGCGCCCTACAACTGAAGAGTGGATAGAGAAAATGTGGTACATTGATTAAGGGCAGAGGGCAGAGGTGAGCTCCGGGTCCCCATTTTAGATCAGATTTCCTCCCACTCACCCTTTCTTGGATCCCCTGGCCTGGGGACCACATCCAGTTCAACTCACCCCTGGATGGATGATCAAGAGACTAGGAGCTTGCAGAGAGAGCGGGTCTACTTCTGCCTACACTCAGGGCATAGGGCAGAGGTGAGCTCCGGATTCCCATCTTAGACCCGAATTCCTTCTGCTCGCCCTCTCTCAGATCCCCTGGCCTGGGGACCACAGCCAGTTTGACTCGCCCCTTGATGGACTACCAAGTGATTAGGAGCCTGCAGAGAGAGTCAGTCTATTCCTGCCCACACTCAGGGCAGAGGGGAGAGGACAGAGAGCAGGGGACAGAGAGTATTGGATTTGCTCGCACCCACCGAAAGGCAACCCTGGTCTACTACCCACCAGGAGAGGAAGAGGCTCTTTATACACACACTGGAGGAAGTGATGGGAAAGAGGTAGTATAAGAACACACTCAGCAACAGAAAAACAAATATGATACCACCAGAGTCTAGAGATTCTAAAGCAGGAGGAACTGAACACTCTAATGTGGATGAAGCAGAAGGGAATGAACTTAAAAACACCTTCATGAATATGATAGAGGCCCTCAAAGAGGATATGAGAAAATCCACTAAATAAATGGAAGAAAAAACAATCGAAAAAATCCAACAAATGCAAGAAAGGGAGGAAAACACGAAGCAAAAATTACAAGAAACAATTCAAACAGTGCAAGGGTTGAAAGCTGACATGGAAACAATAAAGAAAACACAGTCTGAAAGAATGCTGGAATAGAAAAGCTGTGGAAATAGTCAGGTATTACAGATGCAAGTATAACCAACAGAATACAAGAGAATCTCACATGTTAAAGACACACTAGGAAAAATAGATTCATCAACCAAAGAATATCTTAAGTTCAACAAATCCCTAACACAACATATCCAGGAAATATGGGACACCATGAAAAGACCAAACCTAAGAATAATAGGTATAGAAGAAGGCGAAGAAACCCAACTCAAAGGGGGAGAAAACTTATTCAACAACATCATAGAAGAAAACTTCCCCAACCTAGAGAAAGACATGCCAATGAAGGTACAAGAAGCTTACAGAACATCAGATAGAGTAGAACACAAAAAGTCTCCTCACCACATAATAATCAAGATCCCAAGCATACAGAATCAAGAAAGAATACTTAGAACAGCTAAGTTAAAAGGTCAAATAAATACAAACCTACCAGAGTTACACCAGACTTCTCCATGGAAACTGAAAGCCAGAAGGTCCTGGATAGATATTATGTCAACACTAAGAGACCACGGATGCCATCCCAGACTACTATACCTACCAAAGATTTCCATCACTATAGATGGAGAAAATAAGATATTCCATGACAAAACCAGATTTAAACAATACATATCCACTAACCCAGCCATACAGAAAGTTCTGGAAGAAGAACTCCAGTCCAAGGAAGTTAACTGCAACTAGAAAATCATAGGTAATAAATAATACCATTTTACCAACACACAAAAGAGAAAACGAATGTTAATCCACAAACAATCACACCAATATCAGCCATTCCAAAACAAACAAGAATGAGCAATCAAATGTCATTAATATCCAACAATAATAATGGCCTTAACTAGCCCATAAAAATTTATAGTCAAACAGAATGGATTTGAAGACAGAATGCATCCTTCTGCTGCATACAAGGAACACACCTCAGCTTCAAAGACAGGTGTTCCCTCAGAGTTAATCATTGGGAAAAGATTTTTCAATCAAACGGACCCAAAAAACAAGCAGGGGTAGCAATCCTAGTATCTAGCACACTAGATTTTAAACTGAAATAAATCAAAAGAGATGAAGGAGGTCATTTCACATTCATCAAAGGAGAAATCCACCAAGATGAACTCTTGATTCTGAGCACCTATGCCCCAAACACAAAGGAATCAGCATTCGTAACAGAAACATTACTAAAATTCAAACCACACATAAAACTTCACACACTTATAGTGGGAGAGTTCAAAACCCCACTGTCACCACTAGACAGGATTTCCAGACAGACACATAATAAAGGAACTAATAGAAGTTATGATCCTATTGGGATTAACAGACATCTATAGAACCTTCCATCCAAACACAAAAGAATATACCTTCTTCTCAGCACCTTTTCAAAATTGACCACATACTTTGCAACATAGCAGACTTCAACAGGTACAAAAAATTGTAATAACTCCATGTATCTTTTCATATCACGATGCTTTAAAGTTAGAGTTCAACAACAACACAGATTGTAGAAACCTTACAAACTCATGGAAATTGAATAATGAGCAATTGCACCACTCATGGGTCAAAGAAGAAATTATAAAAGAAATTAAAGTCTTCCTAGAATTCGATTAGAATGAAAACACAACTTACCCAAACATATGGGACACTTTGAAAGTAGTGCTAAGAGGAAAGTTCATAGCACCAAATGCCCTCATGAAGAAACTGCAGAATAGTCACATTAGAGAATTAACAACACAACTGAACGTTATAGAACAAAAAGAAGCAAACTCACACTGGAGGAGGAGCCTCCAGATAATAATAAAATTGAGGGCTGAACTCAATAAAGTACAAACCAGGAAAACATTGAGAAGAATCAATTTAACAAAGACCCAGGATAGCCAAAACAACCCTATACAATAAAGGAACTTCAGGAGGCATCACCATACCTGACTCCAAGCTCTATTATAGATATATAGTCCTGAAAACAGCTTGGTATTGGCACAAATACAGACAGGTAGACCAATAGAACTGAATTGAAAACCCTGATTTTAACCCACACACCTATGAACACTTGATTTTTGGCAAAGAAGCTAAAATTATACAATGGAAAAAAGAAAGCATCTTCAACAAATGGTGCTGCCATACCTGGGTATTGGCCTACAGATAGATCCGCATCTATGGCCTTGCACAAAAGTTAATTCCAAATGGATCAAAGATCAAAGAGAGAGAGACTTGCATGAATACTCATACACACATAGTTGGAGAGAGAGTTAAATGTAAAATATTTAAAATAACTGTTATGCTCCTTACTTCATATTCTTCATTCATGAATCACTCTTACATATAAAAGATTTCCTTTGAAAAGTACTCCAAGACTCAGTTGCCCCCTTTTCGACCCTGATTAACCATCTCTCTCTAAAGACTTGAATCCTGAAGGCTATGTTTTGTGTCATTCACTCCAGTAGAGAGGTAAGGATTTCCAGGAATTTCCCAGCAATCTCATATTTCAGTTTTATCAGGCAAACTTGCTGTTGACATGTCAGAATGAAATCTTAACAGAGAACATCTATATGGTGTAGGCTTTAACGGACGCTGTAACAATACGCGACACACAATTACTGACAGTAAAGCTAAGTATTTAATGTAGAAAATTACTCACAAGATACCAAACCCAGAGGAGCAGTTTTCAGTTAGCTGCCGGACCGGAAGCCGAACTCCAGGAAAAGAGAGCGAGATTTCCTGTGCGCTGTCTTTTATGCCTTCCCCCGTAACGCCCCCTAGCCATGCCCAAAAGTGGGCCTGGCTAGTGATAATGGTTGTCAGAAGCGGGATTGAATTTCCACGCAAAACAACAAAAGCTTTAAAGGAATTTTAGAAACAGAAGAACGGAGAGAAGCATAGATTTTGGTAGCAGCATTTTCTCAGGTGTGCTCTGTTTTGCTAGCGACAAGCCGAGATTCACATGGCTCGTTTACCGGAGTCTTCCTGACTCAGCATAAAAAGAAAAAGAAAAAAAAAAACCCAACAAGGTTGTTTTAAGAGACTCTGCTAATGATTGATAGGTGTGTACGTACAGCTGGAAGTGGCAGCTTTTGCTGGAGGTCAGCATGGACTGAGGCGGTAAGCTGGAGTCACGCTTACGCCCGCCATCTTGAAACGGCAGTTTAAAACAGCCGCGGTTTTACAGATAAGACACGTGGCCAGAAAAACATAAAGATTTACAGTAAAGTCAGACTTGGATGAACAAAACTTTTAAAGGTTTACAGTGTGTTTAAAAATATACGTGAGATTGAGAGAGAAAATGAAACGGCAAAGTGGTAAATAAATACAAAAGCCGGCGTTGTGGTGGCGCACGCCGGTAGGATTGCTCCAGAGGCAGAGGCAGGCAGGTTTCCAAAGAAACCCTGTCTCAGAGAAAAATAAATAAAAGTAAAATAAATAAAGTAATAATAAATAAATAAATAAGCCACGTAAAGATGGAAAATACACAGAGAGTCTGGATACTGTACGCTATTATGTTTTTCAGTTTTTTGCTTGCTCAAGAAGGAACTGCTACTAAAGTACACTTGCTTATAAATGCTGCTAAATTAATACAACTTATATCTTTTGAAAATACCTTGACTTCAAAATTTAAGCATAAGGATATGTTACTCGGAAAAGGAGTTTTTATTTATGTTTCTACAGAAAATGAAAAGCTGAGAATTCCTTCCATGTTTCTGTGGTTTCACGAACCAAGACCCCCGGAAGCAGTGGACCAGGTGTTTCAACGACTGAGACAGCTAAGATGATACAGCCTTACAGACCCCGAAAATACGGACTTATACAGGTTTCTGAGTTTTGTCATGATCTCCATGGTAAAAACAGCGCCCCCTTCCAGCAGGAAGCAGTTTGGAATGAGCGACGTCCCAATTCCCATCTTGTTTATAAATCTTTGTTTTCATTTAAATGGGATTGTTTATAATTGGCTAGTGATCACAGCCAATCTTTTTTAATGGTAAAAAGGGGAATTATGGTATGGGTATTGTTTTTAATTTATTGATACAAATTCAAGGTCAATTTTGTGATGCTTATATTTCTCCTCTTGATTAAGTATTGTGCTTATACTGATCTTTTACAATGTAATGCATAATTGAATACAGGCTATAGATAGTTACTTATAAGAGTCAGATCTTATAGTTAGGTAAGTTAGGTTTTCTAGATATATAGAGATGTATTTGAGACAGATAGTCTTCAAACCTCTCAAAGACCATCAGAAAATGGCATTTTAAATGGTTTAGGGTTTTTCTTGACAATGAGAAATGTCTGCTCCTGGCAGCACCAATTATGTCTGAGAGGAAAATGGGCATCGAAGAAACTCGTTATGGAGTTTGCTTTCAACGTGGCAATATTAGCCATTTGGGCAAGAAACTGCTCTTGCCTAGACTGTTTGACTGTTGTTATATAATCTGGACATGCAGGACCCACAGAAAAGTGACTGCTGAACTCAGTCTTACAGGGTTCCTGCTTCATGGAAGAGTCTAGGAGACATTCTGCAGGATAAAGACAAATGACTGACAGACTGCCAATGCAGATGGACAGTTTGAAATTTCCTGCTTTGCTGAGAAGTGTTCCAGACACATTGTGGCCTATGGGCTGAAGATGGATGCCCCAACATTACAGAGGAACTTCGGGTGACTGTCCAGGCAGTAAGATACCTCTGTCAATCCTAGTGTTTATATATTATCCTTCTGTGGTCTTTGATGGAGTTGAAGACAGATAGTTATAATTATAGTTTTGCTTAGTTATGATAAAAGATAAGCTACATATAGAACTTAGGACTCACAAGGATGGGATGGATCATATTTTCTTTAAATCTTGCTAAAATATTGTAACTATGTTCTTATTTGATAACTGTTCTGTTATATACAATTTGACTATGTTAAAATTAAGACCTTTCTTTTGTTTAAACAGAAAAGAGGAGATGTTGGGGAAGTCCTGTTATTTGTCAATAAAGTACTGTTGAGCCTATAGAAAACCTAGATAGGAGGGACTAGGAGTCGAGGAGGATTCTGGGAAAGAGAAAGACAAGAGAGTTCGAGATGTAACCGCCATTGGGGTAGGAAGCCTGGAAACCTCTCCGGTTAGAGACATACTTAGATTAACAATTATGGAGTAATTACTTAAGTCAGAGCTAGCCAGTTAGAAACAAGCAAGGCCAACAGCTTCATAATGAATATAGCCTCCTGTGTGTTTATTTGGGACTGATGCGGCTCTAGAACCAGGCTGGAGCGGCAGAGCCCAGGCGACTGGTGGGGGATAAACCAAAGCGGCTAGCAAAAGAAAAAGCTTCACTTAACAATACGGGACAGTTCTAGTAAGTGTTGTCAGGTCAAGTGTAAGCGATGAATATTTAATTCAAATTTAGAACATTGTTTTGGGTAAGTTTTACTCCTTTAAACTTTCCTATAATGTATATTACTGTACCAGCAACCAGTATGTTTCAATCTCTAATACTTCCCCGTGCCTTTCAAAGATAAGTTTTCTAATTTCATCAAAATATATCCATATTCCACATATTTTCTTCCTGTCTCTAGGAGACCAAACACTTGCTACTAGTTTTACCTCTGGAAATTTTCCCTTCTACTTTCCCTATATCCTCCTCCTGCTTTAAATCGGTGTGTTTTCTATGTTTGGAATTTGGGTAGTATTTATATCTTTGGATTACCTTATCCCAATTTTCCACATGACTGATTCTGTCTTACCATTCATACTCCAGCTTAAGTACCAGTTACTTGAGTTTTCTGTCATACAACACAATCAAGCATGCCTCTAGCCAGTCACTTCCTCATAAATCCCCCTTCAACCTTTATGTCCTCATCTATTCTAGTGACATTTGAAATCCACATTGATAATAAATGTCTATGGGAGCTCTGAATAAAGCCAGTGCTCAGTGTATCAGAACTGAACCTATGACTTTTGACTTTACAATGGTGGAAAAGTAATACTGTATATTCAGAGTAAGTTTACACCTTGAAGTTTGAAGTGAGTCTTTTCTATGGAGGCAAGGTATTCTCCAAGCATCCCTGGGCAATAATTGTAAGCCTTAGCTGCTAGGTTGTTTCATGTAACAAGGGAAACAAATATCTACCCTTATATGTGTAGCTGAGTGTAATGTTCCATAACTTAAATAGATTCAATGCATTTCCAACTTGTGATGTTGCAATTTATGATGGGTCTATTGAGATTTGCTCCATCATAATCTAGGGCCATCTGTAATATAAAAATATATGTACATATACGAGTTTATATTTGTGTTCATATGTGCATCATCTACTTTAATTTTCTTTCTTATTTTATGTGTTGCCCTGGCCACAACGTAAGAGCCACAATACTAGAGTCTTCCTTCACCATCTGCCTCATTTGCTGATGTGTCATTTACTCTTAAAACCACATTATTTTTGCAAAGAGAATAATTATGTGAATACCAAGTATGAGTCAGTCAAAAGAAATTTCAAAGTGTATCTTAGTTGCCTATAAACCTTACAGTATGAGAATTAGGCTCCTGGTATGCAAGATGATAATTTAGTTTATATTTAGTATAATTAATGAGTGAAAACAATAAATAATAGAATATATGAATGTGGGAAAATCATTTTGTCCTGGTCCATAGTGGAACATGTGATTGGGGAAAAAAAGGTCATTTAGTAAAGTGTTTACTGTGCAATCATGAGGACTTGAGTTCAGACCCCAAGGATCCATGCAATATATTGGCATGGTTTCTGAATGTCTGTAACCATAACACTCTTGATGGGAAAGGGGGCACTGACAGTAGCATCCCTGTAGTTATTTGGAGATCCAACAGAGTCCATCAGTAATCTCAGGGTTCAGTGAGACACCCTTTCTTAAAAGATAAGCTGGAAAAAGGTTAAGACGCACACTGATGCTGACTCCTGGCCTCCATATTCACACACACACATGCACTCATGTCCATATACACAGACAATCAAACAAGCATACACAGTGAACCCAAACAGCCATACATACTCACACTTAAAAACAAAGATGTAAGAGTGGGATGATAAGAGAGCTAGCTTTTAAGTTGGGCCATGAGATTGAGGAAGGTTTGTAGAGGGAGCATGGCCATACACACTTCTTCATTTTAGAAATTCAACTATATAAGCTATACAGCTTAGGTGGAGCCCAAGGGAAGGGAAGAAATGCTGTTTTCAGTTTCTAATGCTGTCTGTGCAGATGCTGTATGGAGTAGCACCTTCTTCAGATAGGACACTGTGAACCACTCCAGTCTTTTCTCAGTCACTGGTCTCTTGTTCTACACATTCACATACTTCTTTTGGGGTTTGATTTGCCTCCTTCCCTCTCTTACTATCTTACTAAGTGCCCTAACTCTTTCTATTGGCCCTCCTATTTCTCACTGTGTCTCAATTCTCCATCAGCTGTACCATTTTATTTAACTTTGTAATCTAGGAAATACACTTTAGAAGGTCCCTGCCTTTACACCAGCCCATGTTCCATGCACTTTGCCTTCAGCCTCCTGTATTTCTTTCATGTTGCTGTAAACAAGGTCTTATCATTACCTGAGGACACAATGAGCACGGGGCTCTCCTCCCAGACGAGCTGAGTATTTTCCAAATAGATGAATGACTGCCAGAAAGCAATGTTCCTTAAGTGGAATATTGGAATGCTGGACTAAGCTTGAAACCATTTCTTCA